AAACCCCCCCCCCCCCCCCCAAGAGTTAAATGGTCAGCCCCTTAGGTAGTCATAAGACAAAAGTGGTTCGAACCTGACGCCAGTACTACTAGTGGCTAGTAATTATGCAAATACATAAAATGCAAATGCAAAATAGGTATTATTTGAACCACTGTAACTTGAACACGTTTTGATCAAAGATATTTTTATTTAGCCTGTGAACTATCGAAGGTTAACTAAAAAAACTGAATGGAACAGACTTTTTGTGCGGGCATTCGTTTGTTTGCAACGCGCTTTTCAAAATCCATCAATTTTAGTCTTTGAAACACTCTCTGAGAAGCCGAGACGGACTCAATTCGTTTTTGGCTTGAAGCAGAGATAAGAATGACAATTTGAAAACAAAAATTAGATTTTAGTATATACCTACTAAAGCCTCTTCACCGACAAAAAATAAAGAAAAACTATTTTTTGTCGCGAAATCGAGTGGACCGCTTTTAGGGAGACTGCCTCTTGATTAGCAATTAATCAAGTCCCTTAAGACTTTGTTAAAGACACTCCACTTCAATGAACAAGGAGCTCAAAGAAAAATTGAGGGGAGCCCGGTTCTGGTTCAAAACTAATGCCAGTACTACTACTAGTGAAGTTAATCCACAACAGGATTCATGATTTAGGTACAAATTTAATATAAAAGCTTTGTAGGCGACGCCTGAGTTACAATTACCTAGCAATTAATTAGCAACTAATCAAGTCCTTTCACACTTTGTTGAAGACAGTCCACTTCAATGAACAAGGAGCTAAAAAAAGAGTCCATAATACATCTCCACGGTGCCCAGCGTAGGATATTTTCTATGAACCAAACAAAGAAGAAATGAAATGTCCTTTTTCTCTAGCATCTGTTCCATCAGAACTCCATGCTGTAATCTGCGGTTGCAACAATACAGAAATAAAGATCAGTGTATGTTAAGCAAGATACAGGTAACAACCATTACAATTAGTAAAATAGCATTCAACAACAATGAAAACGACACAGGGGGGGGGGGGGGGGGGGGGGGGCCAGACGGGGAAAAAAAAAGGCCCGGGGGGTTGTTTTGTACATTTTCAACCCCCCCTTTTTTGAACCCCCTCCCGGTCGCAATTTTTTCTCTTTTTTTTGCCGGACACCACAAACAGGACCCCCCACGA